TCTCCAGCACCACAGCTCAAAGGCATCAATTCTCCTTCTATCCTCCTTAGTCACTGTCCAACTCTCTGATGCGTAACAAGTGATTGCAAAGACCATAGCCTGTATCAAGCACACCTTAGTCTCCAAAGTGACACCATTGCTCTTCAGTACCCTGGAGAGGTCCCTAACAGAAGACTTGCCCATGACAATAAGTTTTTGATTTCCTGGCTGCTGGTGCCAAGAGTGTTGACTGTGGAGCCAAGCAGACTGAAGTTGATAACAATCTCAGTCTCTTGACCATCCATCCTGATGCTGCCAATTGGTTCAGTGGTGAGAATCTTTGTCTTCTTGACATTGAGCTTCAATCCATATTAAAGGCTGCAGTCCTTGACCCTCTGCAGCAAGCATTTACTCAGTTTCGGCAAGCAGGGTTGTGTCATCTGCATAATGCAGACTGTTAAAAGATCTTCCACCAATCCTGAAGCCACACTTCTCCTCATACAGCCCAGCCTATCGGATAATCTGTTCTGCATACAGGTTGAAAAGCTATGGAGATAGGACACATCCCTGGCATATGCCTTTCCCAATTTTGAACCATGCAGTCTTTCCTTCCTCTGTTCTGATGACTGCCTCTTGGTCCAAGTATAGGTTTCACATTAGAACGATCAAGTGTTCTGGGATTCCCATTCTTCTCAGAGTCAGCCACAGTTTGTTATGATCCACACAGTCAAACGCCTTTGCATAATCAATGAGACACAGATAGACATTCTTCTGGTATTCCCTGTTTTCAGCCAAGATCCATCTAACATCAGCTACAGTATCCCTAGTGCCACGACCCCTTCTAAACCCAGCCTGGACTTCTGGCAGTTCTCTGCTGATGTGCTGTTCCAGTTGTTTTGGGGTAATCTTCAGTAGAATCTTGCTTGCATGTGAAACCAATGATATTGTTCTATAATTTCCACACTCTGTTGGGTCACCCTTCTCTGAATGGGAACAAATACAGATCTCTTCCAGTCAGTTGGCCAAGTGGTTGTTCTTCAGATTTCTTGCCACAACTTGGTGAGCACATCCAGGGCAGCATCTGTTATCTGAAATACTTCAATTGGTATACCATCTATTCCTGGGGCCTTATTTTTTGCTATTTCCTTCAAAGCAGCTTGAACTTCTTTCTTCATCACCAAATGTGTACTCTCAAAATCTGACATTTCACAGGACAGAGTCTATTTCATTAGACATGACAAGCCACAGCCCAATGCTCTTTTAGCTTCCTTCTCCTTTTGTCAGTCTGGGAAATACCTGAACTAGCAGAAAATCAATGGATAATGTGACAATGGATAATCTGACCATTTTTACATGAGCCATGAAAGCTCACCCCTATGTTGAGTAAGAAGCCTGCTTTCAAGTTAAGCAAAGACAGTTTTTACTGGAACGCTGACTCAACTCTTGCTGAAAATTACAACTTAGCCAATCAATAGCTAATGAAGTTGTTCAATTAGATAAGCTTGTCATTGGCAGCAGCTGGTGGGGAAAACTTGCAGTGCTTTTTTGTGTTCTGTTTCAAGGGTCACACAGCTCCTCTACCCTCTCTGAAACACTGGGCACTACTAACCACCTTGGTGAAAATTCATCAGTGTCCACGATGCTGCAATACTGTGGAGGTCCCCATTTCTCTAATTACTTTCTTGTTCATGTCCCTTCTCTCTGTGTCAGCTCTGTAAATATAAGTGATTCTTGTAGTTGCCTCCTCCATTAATAATGCTCCCCCCCTTATTTTCTTCTTTGGCAATTTCATTTGCTCCCACAGATTCAGTGATCATTCCCAGGCAGCTGACTCTCCTGTGCTGTACCCATTCTAGACTCACATTTCCAGTTGTCTCAATATCTCCATAAGATTTTTCTTAAAACATTTTTAAACTTAATTCTGACTGGTTTGGTATTTGCTGGCCATGATATAGTTGTTGTTAGGTGACATCAAGTCCACTACGACTCATAGCAACTCTGAACAACAGATCTGAGCCTTGCTTTGAATCCCTTCATGAACTTTTGACATGTTGGAGCCAACTGGAACAGTTACTGCGCCAATCCATTTTGTTGAGGATCTTCCTCTCGCTGATTCTCTACCTTTCCCAGCACCATGTCTATTTTCAAGGACTCCTGTCACCTCCTGCCAACAATATGTCCAAAATGTGTGGAAAGAAGTTTCACCATCCTTGTCTCTAGGACTTCTGTAAGAACAAACAAACCTGTCCTGGGATGAAGTGAAACTAGGGTGCTCCTTAGAGGCAAGGATAATATCATTAGATGTAATAAAGGAAAAGTGACTTAATTCTGGATTTGAGCTCTAGGTGTACCTAGACCACAAAGTCCAAGGCTGTAAATCTTTAGTGAAACAGATTGCCATTTCTTTCTTCTGGGGAGTGCTGGTTGGTTCAAACTGTTGACTCTTTAGTTAACAGCCAAATGTTTTAACCACAACATCGCAAGAGCTCCTAGGTAAAGAAGAGGAGCATAATAAATTCACAAAAGCTTTCTTTTCCCTTCTAATATTCTCGCCAGAACACTCTGATTATTAAAATGAAGATTTAAAAAGAAATAAATACAGCCAGTGACCCATGATTCTTAATTTTTTAATCCCTCCAGGCCTTCCCCTCTATTTTACATCACAACCCTCTCTTGTGTTACACATTCACTTGTCCCTTTAATGATTACCTACTGTCTCGTTTGTGCAATGGATTGTGGGAATGGGTGTGGGGTACAGAATATACAGAAAATGAGTGAGTTTCCAAGGAACTTACACACAGATGGGAGTAGACAAAACAAAATAACTCACCATACTGGAAGATATATGGACATATATATCATTAAAAGCATATGCACAAAGGATTTCTGATTAAGATGTGACTGATTTCTATCAGAAAAATAAAGGTGAAATCTCCTGGAGGAAAATCCATTTGAGTTGAGTGTTAAAGAATGAGAGGGAGAAAGTTACAAAGACACAAAATGAGTAACAGTATGGCATGGTTTTCTGTTTAGCCAGTAATCTGAGGGAGTGAAACTTTGTGTGGGTGGAAGAACTAAAGCAGGAAGAAGGTTGGCTAATAGGGACATGAGAGTGCACAGAGCACCAGTGAAAGTTTCTAAGAAGGACAGGATCAATTCTGTTTTAAGAGACTTTGGAAATTTGAAAAAGTGAGAAAAAAATTTTGAGATAAATGAGTTGAAAGATGAAGCATCCTAGAGATTCATATTCAACAGGAATAAAGTTCTGAAATTAACAATTTGAATAGGTTCCTTGAGTATTCTTCTTATTATTGTTATGTGCCATCAAGTCACCTGTGGCCCACAGTGACCCTATGCACAGCAGCTCTGAACCCTTCCCTGTCCTGAGCCAGTCTCACTGATTCTAACACACCAACCACCACTGCCCCAGTTACTGTATCAATCCATCTCATCCGGGGTCTTCCTCTCCTGCACTGTCCCTCCACCCTTCAAATCATGATGTCCTTCTCCAAGGACCAGTCCCTCCTGGCCACATACCTAAAGTGTATGAGATGGAGCTTCAAAATCCTAGCCTCCAAGGAGAAACATGGTTTCACCCTCTCCAACAGAGACCTATTTTTTTTCTTGGCAGTCCATGGTATGTTTAAGACTCTTCTCCAGTACCACAACTTGAAGGCACTGATTCTTCTTCTGTCATTTTTAGCCATTGTCTAGCTCTCTGATGCATAGCATCTAATTGCGAAGACGATGGCCTGGATTAGGCGCACCTTAGTCTCTAGACATCATTGTATTTCAGTACTCTGGAGAGGTCCATGACAGCAGTTTTTTCCCAATGCAATTTGTCTTTTGACTTCCTGACTGCTGGAGCTGCATAATAAGTTTGAAAGCCACAATTCTTGGGGTTTTAATCTTGAGAATACTGTATCAAGTAACTATGTAACTTCAGGTCATGGTCCTTCTGATCACTTGCTATGCATCTGAGAGCTGGACAGTGAATAAAGATGACAGAAGAATTGATGCCTCTAAGCTGTGGTGTTAGAGAAGAGCACTGAACATCCCATGGATGGCCAAGAGCACAAGCAAATATATCTTGGAGAAAGTGCAGCCAGAGTGCTCCTTGGAGGCAAAGATGATAAAGCGTCGCCTCACATAATACAGATTGGGAAAGGTTAGTCCTTGGAGAGGGACATGATGATTGGAAAGGCAGAGAGTTGGCACTCAACCAGGTAGACTGACACAATATTTGCCACAACAGGGAGTGTGCCAGGAAGTGAGGAGATGGCATATGATAAGGACAGGGTTCAGATATGTTGTTCATAGGGTCACTATGAGTTGTACTTGTTTCAATGACACCCAACAATAACATGTATTCTTACTGCATAAATTTGAGAGCCAAAGTTCTTGGAGCTTTAGTCTTGAGAATACTGTATCAAGTAATTATTTCACTAACAGGGAGGTTTATGAGGAAACAGAAGCATAGGAAGATTAAGAAATGGTCAAAAGCTGTTGTTAGATGCCCTGAGTTAACTGTGACTCACAGCAACCCCATGAACGTGGCACTGGACACTTGCCCCCTCCTGTGCCATCCATCCTTACCATCTCTTACATCATTGAGCTCATTGCTACAATCATTACACCAATCCATCTTGTTGAGGGTCTTCCCTTTTTATGCTGACTCCTCCACCTGTTCAGGCATGATGCTTTTCTACAAGGACGGGCCCTTCCTAACAACATGCCCAAAGTATGTGAGATGAAGTTTCAACATGCTTGCTTTCGAGGAGCACTCTGTTTTCACTTTCTCCAAGATTGACCTGTTTGTTCTCTTGGCAATCCATGGAATATTCAGTACTCTCCTTCAACACCACAACTCAATGACATCAATTCTTCTGTCTTGCTTAGCTACTGTCTACATTTCAGATGCATAGCAATAACTGAGAAGACCATGGCTTGGATCAGGCAAACCTTAGTTTTTAAACTGACATCATTGCTCTTCAGCACTCTGGACAGTTCCCTGACAACAGATTTTCCTAGCAATCTGTCTCTAGAGTTGGTATGCTGAATCAGTATATAATATTGCCTGTGAGTTACAAATAATTAATGCATATTTGCTGAAAATAACAGGAAAACAAAATGTTCAGATAGAAAAATTACAAGACTAACATATTTTTAAAATGTAGTTACCATAGTTTTTGAAAAGGAAGCTCTAGTTGAATAGTCTCGAGTACGATGGAGCTGCTAGCGCTCTTCAGCAGTTCAAATCCACCTGCAGGAGAATGATGGGCAGTCTCCTCACATGTGATTTACAGCCTTGGAAACCCAGTGGAAGGTCAGTTATGAGTTGGTCCCAACTCAATTGCAATGAAGTTGGGGTGAGAAAATATTTTCCAGTATTTTGGAACACTGAGGGTAAAATAATTTCTCAGTGAGTTTCAATGAACTTTAATTAATGTCTTCCTTACCTTGTCACAGCAATTGCATCTTCTAGAAAAAACTGATCAACAGGAAACGTACGTCCTGAAAAAACAAGAAAATACAAACTTGAGAAAATTGTTTAACCATCTTGAAGTATAGTAAATTATAAAAAATGTTTTTGATGATAGAAATTGATTAGTAAAGAATATATGTTGTTGTTATTGTTATGTGCTGTTGAGTCATCTGTGACTCATAGCGACCCTATATACAACAGCCCTAAACCTTGCTCTATCCCTTGCCAATTTTATCTCCGACACACCTATTCCCATTACCCTGGTGACAGAATCAATCCATCTCTCCGAGGGTCTTCCTCTCCTGCACTGTCTTTCCACCCTCCTAAGCATGACGTCCCTCTCCAAGGACTGATCCTGCCTTGCAACATGCCCAAAATATATCAGATGAAGCTTCAGAATCCTTGCCTTCAAGGAGGAGCCCAGTTTCACCATCTCTAGGCTGAATCTGTTTGTTCTCCTAGCAGTTCATGGTATATTCAATACTCTTCTCCAGCACCACAGCTCAAAAATATCAATTCTTTTTCTTTCTATCATCCCTAGTCACTCTCCAGCTCTCTGATACATAGCACACAATTATGAAGACTATGGCCCAGATCAGGCGCACCTTAGTTTCCAGCCTGACATCTCCTCAGTACTCTGGAGAGGTCCCTGACAGCTGACTTTCCCAATGCAATTCGTCTCTTGATTTCCAGGCTGCTGGTACTAAAAATGTTGATTGTGGAACCAAGAAAACTAAAATCGCTAACAATCTCAATCTCTTCACCATCGATAATGATGCTGTCAACTGGCCCCGTGGTGAGAATCTTTGTTTTCTTGATGTTGAGCTTCAATCCATTGAAGGCTGCAATCCTTGACCTTCTGCAGCAAGCACTTCAGGCCATCCTCAATTTCAGCAAGCAGGGTTGTGACATCTGCATAATGCAGACTGTTGATGAGTCTACCTCCAAATCCTGATTGCCACACTTCTCCTCATAGAGCCCAGCCTCCCAGATAATCTGTTTTGCATATAGATTGAAGAGATATGGACACAGGACATATCCTTGATGCACACTTTTCCCAATTTTGAACGATGTAGTGTTTCCTTGCTCTGTTCTGACGACTGCCTCCTGGTTCAAGTATAGGTTTCGCATAAGCACAATCAAGTGTTCTGGGATTCCCATTCTTCTCAGAGTCAGCCACAGCTTGTTGTGATCCACACAGTCAAATACCTTTGCATAATCAATGAAACACAGATAGACTTTCTTCCAGTATTCTCTGCTTTCAGCCAAGATCCATCTGACATTAGCTATAATATCCCTAGTGCCACGGCCTCTTCTAAATCCAGCCTGCACTTCAGGCAGTTCTCTGTAGGTGAAGAAAACAATAATTTGCTAATAAGACTCTACTGTCATTTTTAACTTGTTAATATTTTATTATAACATTCCGTTATATTAGAAATAAACTATATAATTTTTCTTTTCTTTCCGTTTCTGGACTCTTTCTCCTATAAAGATTTAAGACCTCAGAAACCTGATGGAAGGTCTTGCAATGAGTCAGAATAGACTCAACATAAGTAGTTTTTTGTGTTTACTGTTAACTTCCTTTATAAATAGAACAATAGTATTATTCATCAATCAGTTACTGCTAGTTTTCCCTGTGGTAATCAACTGTAGAAGGATAAATAAAAACCCAGGGAGGTAAGTTAACACCATGATGAGACTGTGAAAGCACCAAAAGAGACAAGACTATTTAGCTTTATGTTTTCCAATAATAGACCAAAATCCTGAAAATCAGAAGTATCTAGCAGTGAACAAACACACTATGCACTGACACTACTTTCTTCCTTATACAAGACTGTACTTTAACTTCACATTTTAGAGTTAAATACAATGTTCTTGTTATGTATCATTTAGTTGACTAAGACTCACAGTGACCCTGTGAACAACAGATCAAACCTTGCCCGATGACTGTGCCATCTTCATGCACAGGCCCACTGGTACAGTCAACTGTGTCAGTCCATCTCACTGAGGATCTTCCTGTCACCTTCTATCTTTTCCAGCAGGATGTCATTTTCCAAGAAGGAGCCCCTTTTGACAACATGCCCAAAGTATGTGAGAGGCAGTTTCATCCTATTTGCCTCTAGGAGGTAGTATGGATGCACTTTTTCTTAGACAGATTTGTTTGTTCTTTTTGCAGCCCATGGTACATGCAATACAATTCATCAACAACGCAATTTAGAGGCAACTGATTCTTCTTCAGTCTTCCTTATTCACTGTTTAAGAGGCATACAAAGCAATTGAAAAGACCAAGGCTTGGATCAGAGGCACTTTAGCCTTTAAACTGACATTTTGCTCTTTAGGACTTTAAAGAGATCCTTTACAGTAGATTTTCCCAATGCAGTATGTCTTTTGATTTTTTGACTGCTACTACCATGGATGTTGAATGTAGATCCACGCATAATGAAATTGTTGACAACTTCAGTGTCTTCTCCATCTACTATGATTTTACCTATCAGTCCTGAAGTGAGGATTTCCATTTTCTTAATGTAAAGATGAAACCCATACTGAAGACTGCAATTTTGGATCTTCTGCAGTAAGTCCTCCAAGTCTTCTTCACTTTCTGAAAGCAAGGTTGTGTCTTCTGCATAATAAAGGCTGTTGATGAATTTTCTTCAAATTTTGATGTCACATTCTTTTTCGTATAGTCCTGCTTCTCAAATTAACTGCTCATCACATAGACAGAATAGGAATGGAGAAAGGATACAACCCTGACACACAACTTTTCTGACACACAATTTTGAACCATATCATGTTCCCTTATTCTATATGGACAACTAACTGCTTCTTGGTTTATGTATAGGTCTTGCACAAACAAACAAAGTGTTCTCGGATTCCCATTTTTTACAATGTTATTCACAATTTGTCATGATCCACATAATCAGTAATTTTTTAAAAAATACAGTGGAATGGTAAAAATAAACAAGACTTAACAAGAACTTACATACAAAATTGAATATTCATAACGAGATATATATCTATATCTATACTATACCAACATCTATATCTATATGTATGATGTCACTTCCTTATGAATTTCACTGGATGGCTACAATTTTGTTAAAAATGAATCATTCCTCCTCAAGAAAGAGGCATAAGTATGTCTATTAATTTTTACCACAAATAAATGTTAAAAGAAATATATTTGCTTATAAGACTAATAAATATTTAATGACATACTTTAATTACCTGGTATGGTAATAACTGGACAAAAATCAAAATATTCTGAAAAGAGCTCAGCATTCAAAGTCGCACTCATCAGAATAACTTGAAGAGTTGGCCTCCGTGACACAATGTCCTTCAAAACCAGCAGCAAGAAGTCACTAAAAAAAAAAAAAAAAAAGGAAAAAAAGCCATACACGAAAGTCAAGTAAATTGCACACATTAAATGGACAACTTCAAATATATTTTGATAAAGGAAAGGAAATATGCATTATATTCCTGGAAGTGAAGATCTAAAATGATAAAGATATCAATTCTTTCTAATATAAAGTCTAAATTCCATATAATAGCATTAATCATTGAATTTGAGAATTCAGCTTCCCATTATCACAAAACAGGGACATAAAAAGATTCTCACTCTAGTACTGTTTTTAACAGTAACAGAAACTACCTAAGTATCCTTCAACAGACAAATAAAACAATATCCATATAACAATATCATGAAGCAGATGAAAAGAATACAACAGTATCAGGTTCTATGAAAAGATCTCTAAGACATATTAATTAGTGAAAAAAGAAAAAAATAAGTTGTAGAATAATACTTATTATAGAACAGCAATATGCTAGCTGGTCTTCCTTCTTCAGCCCTTCCCTCCTTGCAGTATGTTCTCAACACAGCAGTCCAGTTATTTTGTTTAAATATAAAACTCTGATGTTGTTTTGTTCAAAACTGTTCCAGGACTTCTCATGAAAGTCCTGATTATCCAGGCCTTAGATAACATGAGACTAAGGTGCGCCTGCTACAGTCCACGGTCTTTGCAATCATTTGCTATGCATCAGAGAGCTGGACAATGACTAGGGAGGATAGAAGGAAAATCGATGCCTTTGAGCTGTGGTGCTGGAAAAGAGGATTGAATATATCATGGACTGCTAGGAGAGGAAACAGATTCAGAGAGGATGAGACCAGGCTGCTTCTTGGAGGCAAGGATTCTGAAGCTTCGTCTGACATACTTTGGACATGTTGCAAGGAGGGACCAGTTCTTGGAGAGGGACATCATGCTTGGGAGGGTGGAGACAGTGCAGGAGAGGAAGACCCTCGATGAGATGGACTGATTCAGTCACTGGGGTTAAGGAGGTAGGTGTGTCAGAGACAGTGAGATTGGCAAGGGACAGAGCAGGGTTTAGGGCTGTTGTACATAAGAGTCGTTATGAGTTGCAGGTGACTCGACGACACATAACAACATCAACATATGACATTAAGGAGTCCTGGTGTTGCAGGAGGTAATCTCTCAGCTTCTAATGTCAAGGTCAGTGTTTTTTAACCCACCAGCTGAGTGGAAGATGAAAGATGTGTCAGTTGTCTTCCATAACGATTATGGCCCTGGAAATCTCCTGGGCAGGCCTACCTTGTCCTGTGGAGCTGCTATGCACTGGAATCACTTCTACAAGGCTTTCTTCAGAGCCTTGAAAACCCGCTCTATGGGCTTGTCAAGGCTGTTACCTGTCAGAAGTCGATTACCAGGCCTGTCTCTGAGGGATTTCTGGGTAGGTTCGAACCACCAACCTTTCAGTTTAGCAGTCAAGTCACACAGGGAGAAAAATACTTAAGAGCATCAAAGCAAATACAAGCAACTGAATTTATGTATATTAACCCTTGTTTGGATTGTTGATTATTTCCTTAGACAAATTTATAAAAAATTAAATTACTAATATCTTTATTTAAAAATTGTGTATTTTCTCCCACTTTTTCTCTGTTGGGCAAGTCTTCTTTAGTTTAGTCCAACTTAGTTTGCTAGTATTCCTTTCATATAGTAAATATTTTCTTGTGGTTATTTCTATGAACAGATTATTTTAATCTACAATCCACTGCAGATCTTGCATACTGTGGGGAGAGTAAAAATCTGCTGAAGAAAAATTATTATACAAATCCTTGAGTACAGGGCATCTTTAACTTAAGACAGGTGCTATTCTAACTGCTTCATTGTAAATCAGTCAAGTAACCAGTTTTTGTTGTTACTGTCACAGGCTGTTATATGGCAATGTTATAAAAATAAATTATAACTCTGAACATCTGCAAGTGAACATTTGAGAATAAAAACATGAGCAAATGACACACTGAAACACCGTATCTTGTACTGTCGTTGTTGATTGCCATCTAGTCGAGCACTACTCGTAGCAACCCTATGAACAAAAGACCTAAAGCCTTTCTGTAACTAACATCATTTCTCCAAGTTCACAGTTTCCAGAGGTGCACGTCTTGTATTACTGTTGTTGTTATGTGCCGTCAAGTTGCTTGTGACTCATAGTGACCCTATGTACAACAGCCCTAAACTCTGCTCTGTCCTGTGCCAATTTCACTGTCTCTGACACACCCATGCCGATTACCCCAGTCACTGAATCAATCTACCTCCTAGAAGGCCTTCCCCTCCTGCACCTGCCCTCCACCCTCCCAAGCATGATGTCCTTCTCCAATGACCGGTCTCTCCTTACAACATGTCCAAAGTATGTTAGACGGAGCCTCAGAATCCTTGCCTCCAAGGAGCAGCCCGGTTTAACCCTCTTCTGGATGAATGTTTGTTTTCTTAGCAGTCCATGGTACCCTCAATACTCTTCTCTAACACCAAAGCTCAAAGGCATCAAATCTCCTTTTATCCTCCCTAAGATTGTCCAACTCTCTGATGCATAACAAGTGATTGCAAAGACCATGGCCTGTATCAGACGCACCTTAGTCTCCAGAGAGACACCCTTGTTCTTCAGTACTTTGGAGAGGTCTTGTATTAGGTACCCCTTAATCTTTAGCAGACATATTCAATCTTTAGCAAATTTCTTGACATAGACTAGTGAGCACATCCAGAGATGCATTTGTTTGCTCAAACACCTCCACTGGTATTCCTCCACTTCCTGGGGCTTTATTTTCAGTGCATCGCCAACATGATTCCTGTGGTCTCAATTAGGTACAATCCATGCAATCCACTTTATGCTTTTAAAAATGGTATTCACAATGAAGGAATCATTGATTGTACAAAATTCTATTATGCCATATCCAGCCTCATTTGTCATCAATTTTATGCCACTATTTTCCAAATACCAGTTCCTTTTTTGCTTCCAACTTTCACATTCCAGTCACCAATCATTACTAATGCATCTTGATTAGCAAGATCAATCAATTTCAGACTGCCTAAGTTGGTAGAAATCTTCAATTCCTTCATCTCTGGCTTTAGTGACTGATGCTTTATTTTTGAATAATAGTTGCATTAGTTAAGTCTTCCTTGTATGTGCAACAGATATTATTCTATGAGTGACAGAGAACTGTTGTTGTTGTTAAGTGCCATCAAGTCAAGTACAACTCACAGTAACCCTATGAACAAAAGATCGGAAACCTGTTCTATCCTGCGCCATCCTCACACTTCCTGACACACAAGAGCCCATTGCAGCAGTCACCAACCATATCAATCCACCTGGTTGAGGATCGTCCTCTTCTTCACTAACTCTCCACCCTTTCCAGCGTCATGTCTTCCTCCAAGGAATAGCCCCTCCTAGTAACACGCTTAAAGTATGTGAGACAAAGCCTCATCATTCTTGCCTCCAAAGAGCACTCCAGCAACATATCTGTTTGTTCCGGCCATCCGTGGATGTTCAGTGATTTTTTGCAACACCACAGCTCAAAGGCATCAATTCTTCTGTCATCCTTATTCACTGTCCAGCTCTCAGAAGCGTAACAAGTGAACTAGACAGAGAAGTATTCACAGGATAACATCACTGAGAGGGTATCACAGGGTAACAGAACAGTTCTTTCTGACAATAGATACAGGAACATTCCTCTCTAATTTGTCATTCCAGGCATAGTAGATGGTATGACTGATGAAAAATTGCCAATAATAACCCATCTCAGCTCATTATTGCCTAGGATGTTTAGTGTTACACATTTCAATTAATTTTTGGGAACTCCCAATTTTCCTAGAGTCATATTGTGCATATTCCACATTCCTTTTATTAATGGATGTTACATCTGTTTCTCCTCATTTTGAGTCTTACTACATGGACAAATGAAAGTCCTTCACTTGGTGAAAACTTTATTATATTCATTTTAGTAAGGCAGACTCAGGTCTGAGGAGGTAGCTCCTCCCCTGTCGCATTTGGAGGGGCTCAGCCTCTGGTTCTGTGTCAGACAATGTCACAGACAGCCTACTATTTCCAAAGTGGATGGCCAGTAGTGCTTGTTAGTCTGTAAGCTCCCCTGAACTCTGTCTACCATGAGTGACTCTACTGAGATTTGAAATATCAGCAGGATAGCTTTCAATATCACAGCAACATGCTACTATCATAGTATAGCAATGTGAGAGGTGATGAGTGGGGCAATTTCACAGGGTCAGAAATTCTTGTTGACATTTTTCAGTATTTTCTAAATGTTTTAGGACAATCATACTGTCACTTCTATGATCAGAAAATGGGTTAAAAATTTAAAACTTACAAACTATAATTGGATAGTCAACTTTTATTCTTGTTTATATACTTAGTGATTCTGGTTCACAGATTTTAATTCTCTTGTATGACTCTTCTTATCAGAACCAAAGACCAAACCCACTGGCATCAAGTGGATCCCTGACTCACAGCAGAGTAGAACCCTTAGGTCATAGCAGAATGGCCCCTTAGGGTTTCTAACGCTGTAAATCTTTACAGAAGTAGTTTACATTTCTATTTCCTTCTATGCTTATTCCCTCACAGTATTTATTCCAATTTACAATTACTTATTTGTGTGTCAATATTTGTTTCTCCTGTCAGACTGTAAAAGATGAGAAGGAACACATGGGCTATGCTAGTTTACTACTGTACACTGTACAATGCATACAGTGTTGGGCATTTAATATTCAAGTTATCACTGACAACTCAGAACCAGCTCGTGGATGACCCTCCAGTGGGTTCCCAAAGCCACAAACTGCCCTGGAGGACAATGGCTATAGTTCTTCATGGAGTCACTGACGGATGTGAGCCAGTAGGGAAGTATGTCGTTTGGGTTAGAAGTGCAACTCCCTGTGGTATAAGCTATCAGAGCTTCCCATACTGTGGTTGTTGCTGTTACATGCTGCAAAGCTGGATCTGACTCACAGCTGAACCTTCAGCAGGTTTTCCTGTAAGAGGCTGTAAATCATCCAAGGAGGATATTGTCCATCTCCTCCAGATGGTGGCTTTGAACCACTTGCCTTTGGGTTGGAAGGGAAACTTCTTACCCATTAGACCACCAGAGTTCCCTAGAGTTCCACATAGCCCCAATAACATGAATAAATATCAGGAAAGAATAACTGATCAAATGAACAAAGAAGGAAGCATCATACTGATCAATCTATCATCTATAGCTTCTGTTCTATTATTTCTACTAGTCCAGCACTCAGTTCAGTATGAAGTCAGGAGGGTGCTAAGTATCTCCTATCTGGTGACAGTTACTCTTCCAGTGCGGAGCACACACTGTCCTAGCACATATGTTGTCACAGATCCTGAATGATTCTGAATGTGAGCAAAGCTGTTCTCTTTCCCTAAGACCACTGTGTGACAAATCACCAATGCTATTCTGATACAGATGAATTAGAAGCAGGACAATTCTACTGGCTACATCTTCATTTGAGGTGTATAATTTTACCTTTCTTCTGTTCGCTCGTGAACTTCATCCACAATAATATGAGTGATTCCTTTCAGAGTTGTGTCTCCTTCTAGTCTTCTCAGCAGCACTCCTGTGGTGCAGTACAACAGCCTGGTGGCTGAGGACTTGGAGGTGAAAGGCAAAAGAAAGCATTCATGAAATTTCTGAGAAAATGAAACATTTTGGCAAGCTATTCTCAGGGGCTAGAATTAAAGAATACTTAGTGAGTCTGAAGCCAGAAATTATATGAAATAGAAAAGCTAGCAAATGCAAATCTATGCATTTAGGATGATTTTATTTTAAATGAGAATACTGGCTGTTGTTTTTTAAAAAGTCGTTTTTAAGGTACACACACATACACACACACACATACATGGTGGCTTTGACAATGGCTTTTCTTTTTCATATAATTTCAAATTTCAGACTCACAAAATGCATTAAAAGTTATATAAAACACCTAACAATACTGAGTGATGAGATCCTGAATTTTTTTGCTACTCATTTGGGTGAAAGGATTAATCTCATTGTTTTGAGAGCAAGACAGCACCTATAAGACTGCTTTCTCATTAAAAAAGTCTTTATATATAATAAGATCTCTTGAACCAAAATATTTCTGAAAGGGTTTTAGTCCTTTGGAGGGTTGCCTCTAATTTAAAATGATCTATGTGTCCTAAGTTTTTCATGAGCCCCAAACATCAAGAACCCTTCATACCTGAAAATTGTGTGGGTTTGTTACCAGAACCAAGCAGAGCATACGAACCTTGACACTCTCCAAGCGGATCTGGTACCCAACAGTCAGGCCGACCCTCTCTGCTCGCTCTTTGGCAACACGTTCAGCGACAGAGATGGCAGAGATTCGTCGGGGCTGGGTGCAGATTATGTTAGCTACCTTCTGAGGAGGCCCATTCAGAGAATCATCCAGAATAAACTGTGGAATCTGGGTCGTTTTCCCACATCTGTGTGGCAAAACAAAAAGTTATAAAAGGAGTTTTTAAGTGCCAAAGACGCAATCATGACAAAGTGATGATAAAGTTGTTGATAAAGTTTGATAAAGTTGTTCAGATTTACCTACCTTCTAAAATTGTACTACTCCTTGTTATTGAGCTAATTTCAATTCATAGAGTAGAACTGCCTGAGAGGGTTTCAAAGCTGGAATCTTCCACAGTGGACGGCCACATCCTTCTCTCTTGGAGTGGCTGCGGTGGGGGGCGGGTAAGCCACCAACTTTTCATTTAGCAGTTGAGTGTTTAACCACTGTGCCGTTAGGGCTCCCTCTGCTCCAATTCACTCAGAAATCTCATTGCCACTTAGCAGGAACTGACTCCTAGATGAGCCTCGAGCACGTTTCCTATAAATAGCATGGAGGAGATTGTCCATCTTTTCCCCCCACTGAGCCGTTGGTGGATTCCAACTGCCAGAGGCGCCCTTTGGGGTACAGGACTCCTCCCTATAGACTAGGGCACCAAAGCTCCAGAGCCCTCGCCAACAACTACTTAACACTAATTACCTATAGTTGACAAAGTCTAGGAATATGCACTTAGATAAAGATATCACTTATATCGCTGGAACTATTGAACAGATACTAGACTAAGATCTGTAAATTGCTTTAAGAATGTAAATATTTCTACAATGAGGAGCTCTGGTGGCCTACTTGGTAAGCTTTTGTTTTGTTGCCAATGCAAAGGTCAGTGGTTCGAATCCACCAGAGGCTCTAAAGAAAAAGATGGGCCACTTCCTCTCATGCAATTTACTAGTTCCAAAAATCCGCTGGAGGGTCAGCTATGGGCTCAATGGTACACATCAACAACAACTAGATTTACACAACTCATAAAGAATATGAACTGGGAAAAAAGAGTTTGGTGTAAGCTATTTTTAAAAGAATGGGGGGGGGGTGACCCCTAACAAAATAATTTTAAAAATTTACAAGTTTCAAGCTAAATGCCTTGAAACCATGTGCTTTACTAAAGAATCTTTTGCTGGTTCCTTTGCCTTAAAGGGAGAGCTGTACAAGATTTAAGGTGCCCTGTTGATGGTGCAATGATTGAGCACTAGGCCACTAAAAGAATGTTGTTTGTTGAAACTCATCCCCAGATCTTTGGAAGAAAAGAGCTAACAATCTGCTCCTGTAAAGATTATGGCCTAGAAAACCCGAGGGGTAATTCTTTTCTGTCATATGAACCACATGAACTGAAACTGACTCAGTGGCACTAACAGCATTACATAAGACTATACATTCTTGGATGAGTTTTCTTTCTCTTTTAAAATGTGGCTCTGTTAGCTACAGAAGTTAAAATAAGGTTACCAGCAATTTAATATTTGATAGGGAAAAGCTCAAATAACACAAGTACTAGGTTTTAAAAAACAGAACTTGTTATGGTGACTTGTTAGCAGCTGTGAAATAGAGTACAACTCATAATGACCCTAAGAACAAAAGATCTAAACCCTGCTCTATCCTGTGCCATCTGCACACTTCCTGACACACAAGAGCCCACTGTGGCAGTCACTGTGTCAATCCACCTGGTTGAGGGTCTTCCTCTCCTTCGCCAACTGTCCACCCTTCCGAGCATCATGTCCCCTTCCACGGAGTAGCCCCTCCTACCAACATGCCCAAACTACGTGAGGCAAAGTCTCATCATTCTTGCTTCCAAAGAGCACTCTGATTGCATCCACTCCAGGACATACCTGTTTGTCCTTTTGGCTGGTCATGCACTAGGGTATACATATTTATAGTCAAAGTCATATTATGAGTAAATTGCAGTCTTACCCAGTCATACCACTTATGACAAGTACTTTGTGCTTGCGCAGCAATTTGAGAATGGTTTCTCTTTCTTCCCAAGCTGGCAGGGACTGTCTTTCTTGCAAAATTGACTGGAACTGTCTGGAAGCCTAACAAAATTAAAGATACGGCATTAGTGAGGTTACTTTAACCACCTTTGTCAAAGATCTGACTCTGGAACTCCACCATCAGACCCACCCCTTCTGCTCTTTCTTTAAATACTTGTTCAGAGAAAGACTGCAGAGACTGGTGAGGACTGGATGTAGAGGGCTTAGTTAGAAGGCTTCTCAGAGAATGAAGCAGAAATAAGGCGTCTGTGTACTTTTCCTATGATGGAATAAGTAGAAAGGACATATAAGAGAAATAAACTCTCTTGCTCAGCACACATCTAGTTCTTTCTAGTGAGTTTCTGCACCAGCACTGTGAGCTGTGTTCTCTACAGCAACTTTTAACTACATCTGGCTACTGAACACTTAAAATGTGGCTAGCTCAACCAAGAAATGGAATTTTCATTTTACTGAATTTAAAAAGCCACATGTCACTAGGATCTACCATATTGGACAGTGTTATATATTATCAGATATTTAGCAAAATCAGTAATAGAGATCTCTCTAAAAGGTTCTTTTTAGTCAATCACTGTATCTATAAGGAACTCTGTTGGCTTGGTGGTAAGGAGTTGTGCTGCCAACGTGAAGGCAAGCAGTTCGAATCCCCCTGTTGCTTTATGGTAGAATGACAGGTCATTCATTTCCCATGGAATTTCCTGCCTCTGAAAACCCACTGGGAGATCAACAATGATTTGGTTCTGACTCGACAGCACATAACAATTGTGGCTATGCTTCTGATATTCAGTGTTCAATATTACAAACATTGTATTGTACATGAAACCTATAAAAGCACTTTTGAAAAATATAAGGTATTTATACTAACTTATCATTTCTTGCAAATAATTTTAACATATTATAAATTCATTATCTTTACACACAATGATCAAACTTAATACATAATTTTTTGTTTCTACTATATTTATTTATAGGGAGCTCTGGTGGCTTAGTGGTAAGGAGTTGTGCAATCAACCCAAAGGCAGTTCGAATCCACCATTGCTTCACCACAATTTAAAGCCTCTGAAAACACCCTGGAGGGTCAACTATGAGTCAGATGCAATTCAATGGCAACAATAACAACCACCACCTTATTTATATGATTTTATGTATCTTTTATGTTCAGTGGATATTGTACAATGTGCCAAATTTCAAGATCACTAACAGTTTAGAACTGGAAAAAAGAAGTAGTATCTAATCTAATCCAATCCCCAAAGTGAGTGTTCTCTACCCTACTTTGCCTGAAGAGTTTATTAATGAACTCTCAAAATAACCTTTATGTGAATGGTATAAAAACAAGAAAGGATTTGGGAACAGGAAGCCACTGACTTCTGATCACCTGCTAGTTATGCAAAAATCAGCACGTTCTTTATCCTCTGACTTATTCAGTGGAGAGAGTCCCTCCTCCTTTTATACACTGATTTTTCGAGCATAAATGTTGGCATTAATTTCCTTTCCACGTATCAGATTGTCTATCGAAGCAACAAAGCCACACAAGTGTGAGGACATTTGGAGTGCGTGTGTGTAAGTGACATTCAGCAGCCATTTGATTTTTCTAAAACCACCTAGACCATGCACCCAAGTTCATGTGGCATGCAGAAACTTTGACCATTCAGGGCGAAAGAGAACTGAAAGTACACTAGAGAAGGGAGCCAAAGCCTCCTAATTCCTCATCCCTTCATCCATACGTTGAGGAGACAATGCTAGCCATTCTCTCAGCGTACCCTACCTGTTTTATTTGGAACTGCTTGCAGATTTTAGCATTTTCAGCATGTACTGACTTTGCCTGCCAGTCATATCTTTTGGAAATCTTTTTCTTAAGGTTCACATAGCTTTCATTCTCCACTATAACTGGTGCAGGACCTTCATCCTCATCTGCCTCTTCCTCAGGTTCTGATTCTTTTACAACTTGAAGGGGACAAAAGGAAACATTTCGATATGGAGCCCTTCCTTTAAAAGGGGAAAGTCACTATTTAACAAACAACAACAAAAAAAAAATCATAGAGACAAATTTAAAGCTTAATTAAAGTGGTTAATCCATTTTAATTCTATTATTGCTAAATAACCTTAAATGCATCTGCAAATAACCTTCAGGCTAAGTGGTTATCATTAAACCATAAGTTAAAAATGTTAAGCACATCTTCAAAGAAACTTTATTCAGGTATAAGTGGTTTCATTAAACCATAAATTAAAACCAAAGTAGTGAAAACAATGGCATGCCTTGATGCTAATCCAGTACACTCTTTGCACTCAAGAAGTTAAGTCAAAGTTTCAAATATTTGCAAGTGTCCCTAGAGGTCTATGACACAAAACAATTTAAACACTCATCAACTGATGAGTGGACAAACAGAATGGTATATCCTTATGATGAAGTATTATTTAGCAATAAAGAGAGTGAAGTACTAATACATGCTACAAATGGATTATTAGCTTTGAAAACATTATGCTGAATGAAAGAAGCCAGACACAAAAGATTACATATTACATGACTGCATTTCTGGAAGTGTCCAGAACAGGCAAATCCATAGAGAAAGTAAAGTAATGGCTGCAGGTGTTGAGAGAAGGTAAATGAGTGCTAATGGGATGGAGTTTCATTTTGGGAATTAATGAAAATGTTCTGGAACTGGACTGTAATGATGGCTGTACAATTCTGTGACTACACCAAAGCCACTGAATTATACACTTTCAAAGGGTAAATTTCTTAGTGTGTGAATTGTGTATCAATAAAACAGCTACTTTTTTTTCCAAATGCCCATTACACATAATTTGTCAGTTCTCCAAATTCCATATGCTAGAGAAAGTGAGACTAGAGTTTGGAGAGTGAAGACAGCCACCTGTCCATTTTAGTGCACGTGGGCATTTCTCTACCAATGATGTTTACCCAGAAACTCTTATGAAATAATAAAAACCCTTTTGTTTTTCTAGAAGGAAGGTGAGAAACAAGTAAGAGAATTCTTTGATAGAAGCTGAAAAGGTAGTTTACTTCTGGCACCAGGATTTGTGCAGCTAATCTAAATCTGGACAAAGCCAGACATTTGTACAAACATTTCTTTGAGAACTTAGGGCTTCTGAAAGATAGTCCCACTCATGGATTTCAGGAATCCAGTGTACTAGAAGCAGGAGGGTCCTGGCTGTAGTATAGAATTAAGCACTTCTAAAGAGCAATAGTATAGAAGTATATTAGAACTGCAGAAAGTCGTAGAAATTCTATACTGGAATTGTAGAAAGTTGCAGAAAGGTAGTATACAATTTAGCATTTCTAAAACATCATTTGAAAGCAAATCCATATATATAAGTACCATATGATACCAAATTAGTTAAATAAAAATTCTCTAAGGAGCTATTTCAAGATTGTTCCAATTCTGAGATTCTATGTTTCTAAGATAAATTTATATAGCTCTACAAACTTTTGCTCCAAAGTGTAGTCCCAGTATCACAAAATTAAAGGGTCTCATTACTGAAGTTCAGGGACTGTTCCTTCCCACTTGCCGATGGAAATGGGGAGGAGAACAATTTCCCCAAGACCACTAGAAGACAGCACACCAGTCCTTTGAAACTTCTACAACTAAGGTCATTATTCTTAATGTCCTCCACACAATCAGTGCCTTACGTACCTGCTGCAATTTGATTTGAAAAAAAAGAATTCTTTGGAATCACTGTGTTATGACAGACAAGATTATTCATCCTGTTTCCAGAGGGTGCTGGTAAAAAGTTCGCAGGAGGAACACTGTACTTATGATGGGTGTTTGTCAGCAACTTGACGATTTCTGATTCTTCCTCTAAAAGGGTAATCAAAGAATATACTGAAGGTTCTGAAGTTTCTGCAAATGCCAAGGCCTTGCCATAAAGGAACTCAGAAATATGTAAACGACAAGCCAGAGGTAGATACTCATTGGTGGAATAAAATGCCACAAGGGGAGCTTGGTAGGGGTACTTGTGGTCTTTAGAAAATCGAATTTCAAGTTCATATAAAAAAGATGTATCTTCATTAAGATGAGAATCATCTGCACGTCTTTCGACTCTTCCAACAATTTGATCTGGGGGTACTTCATGCTTAAATTTGCACTTTGATCCAAATTTACAATTTCCTTTGAGGTAAAATTTACATGTTTCAAGCGAAGTCTCCTGGACATTTCTGGCACTTCCCTTTTGCTTGGATTTGCAGAATTTACTTGCCAAATATTCTAATTCTAACCCAATAGCCCAAACTCTGTTTTGAATTCTTTCTACGAATTTTTCTCCACAGATTGACCTCAGAGCAAGTGCCTCTTCTTGCCGCTGCTCCACACATTCATCCAAGCTAATGCAAGCGACGGCCTCGGGGACCCTCATTCTTTCTCCAAAGGTCTCTGAGAAACACTGAGTGAGGAGATACTCCAGTGATGCCCCAATGTCTCCGCCACAAATCCTCAGGGCTGCCTGACAGCGCTCAGTGTGGAAACCATACCTGTCAAGGGTGAACCGCAACAAAAATGATAGGATAAGATCAAATCAAATCACTGAACTGGAATTTACTGACCTACATTTGTGTGAAATTCTGACTCTATGCGGGCAGGGCTTGTGTGTTTTGAAAAACAAAACAACAAAAACCCCCCATCCCTGATAATATGATGCTTCCTTAAATCCAATCCCAAAAACCACTATTTCCAACTGAGAATAACTGGCTCAAAGAAAGAATCCTGGGGGTATCAGCCAGTCACTGCTAGCACCCAAACAAGAACCAAGTACTCAAGAGTGGGTACTTGAATTTACAAAGTGAAGTCTCTGCAAAATGCTCACAAAAACCTGAAAATAGTTACCTGGAAAGCTTTTGCACTGCAAAGGGTGAGACTGTCACTTCTGGCAGATAAGGCTCCACCAGGACTGGTCCAGCACATTCCGAAGGCTTTGGATCTGGAACCAGGGAAGCTTCCACTGGTCTAGCTGACCAGTATTGCTCATCATCACAGTAATCAGGCTCCTCATCTTCTTCTTCCCCAGAAACACTTCTCCTAGCAAAGATAACACTTCTTATATTCTAATTTTTATTTACTTTAAAGAAATCTGTAGCCAAGGCTTAAATTAACACTGTAATCCAAAAAGGCAAAAGACACAAGATACTGACTATATGTTTGTCACTGATTTAATCCTTCATTTATTTGTAATTCACTGCTGACAACTAATATTCTTCAAGCATTTACTACATGCCAGGTACTGTGCTGAGGGCTTCAAATTGTGCAACTTCTTTTAAACTTCTCAACAACCCCTTGAGGTACTACTAGAACCCCCATCTTTTGCTGATGCACCACTATGATTTCGAGAGGGTTAGTAACTGACTACAGTTACACAGGAGTTCCTCATGGTGCAGTCATCCTCAGCTGTTAACCAAAACATTGGCAGATTGAGTCCACTCAGAAGCGCTTCAGAAGGGCTGGTGATTTATAGTGCGGTTCTATTCTGTAGTATGTAGGTCATCACGAGTTAAAATTGACCAAAAAGCCATCATACAGTTCTTGTTTTGTTTTGTTTTTTTAATTAATGTTATATACAACAGGGGCAGTAAGAAATTTTATCCAAGGCAGTGTGATCCTAGAGCCCACTGTTCTAACAATCAAAGTTTTCATTGTTGCTCTCTTGTTGGTCTTTAAAAAACAGAAAAAAACTCTCTGGTGGCCTAGTAGCAAGAAGCTGCACTGCAATCCGAGAGGTACGCGGCTCAAATCCACCAGGTGCTCTGCTGTAGAAGGAGGGACAATCTCCTCCTGTACAAATCAGATCTGATTTGATGGTACATACACAAAAAATAATAAAATTTTTAAAAAATTAAACTAAAACAAAACCAGAAACAACTCTTAAGTTTTGGGATTTTGGCAGAAACCCATTTTTCCTATCTTTGAAAAAAAGAGAAGATGTATAGGTGGATGGAAAATCAAGCTGTTTGTGTCTAACCATTAAGTAATTCTAATAAATGGGAAGAAAATAATTTTAACTGAAATCATAAGGCATAAAAACCAAATGCAAGGGAAAGGGAGGAGGAAAAAAGTGACTAAGGTATCAGGTAGGGATTCAAACTGGTTCAATCATGGCCAACAAGGCAAAACTGGAAAAGACCCACATTTTAAAAATCTAGGGAAACTGTAATGATAAACAAAACAATAAAACAAAAATACTAGCCTGAAGCCCTGAAATAGAATACTCAGAGAGCAATGTATGCCCTTTCAGGAACCTGAGAGAAACTGGATTACTGGTCAAAGTTAGGAAAGCAACATACACGCAAAATAACATAGTCATTCGCCACCTTTGAGCCTGGGGTCTTCTTGTTCACTCTGCAGGTAAAAGGTCTGGCAAGGAATTCACAGTCCCAAGAGGAAGATTAAGCTTCTAGCAGGGCTGTCATCTGTAATCTCGCTCATTCTGGTTTTCATACTTGACCAAAATTTTAAAAATTTGGGTCACTACTGGTTGAACTGGGATGAACAGGTTTAAAGCCCTCCTTTAGAATGAAAGCATTTTTGCTTGAGCAGATCATGTAAAGTAGAATGTCCAGACTCATCTGATCAACTCAGTATTTTCTCCTAGAATACTATTTCTACTTGCTGACCACTAAAAAATATATATATTAAGCAGTTACTGAGTGCACAGTAGTACTGTTCTAGGGAAAAAAAGAATTAGGATGTACACTGTTAGCATAGGAGCTTATTGTAAAGCTTTCAATAAGATACCCATGGATCGCTTATTGTTGATCATTGCCGTTGAATAGGAATATACTCACAGCCGACACTTCAGTAGGTGTTCAGAGGCTGTAAATCACATGCGAGGAGACTGCCTATCTTCTCCCAAAGAATTGCTGATGGTGGGTTTTGAACTACTTGCCTTTAAATTGACAGCACAACTCCTTACTAACCAGGTCACCAGAATTTCCTGGATGGCTTCTAGATCACTACAAAAAATTGAGTCGGCAAAAGTTATGTGACAGACACATTTAAAACAACAAAAACGTAGCTGCTGATGCTGCTCATAAAAATCGAAATCTTCATGGGATATGGTTTCTTGGTTTGGAAGATAGGAAAATCTTTATTGTGATTTCACTTTATATTTTCCTGATTGTAATGAAAATGAACATCTTTTTTCAGAAGCTTCCATATATTTACCCATTCTGCTCATTTCTCCTGGGATGGTTAGTCATGTTTTGTTTTGTTTTTCTTCTTCTTGTTGCTCATCTTTACTTTTAAAAATTTATACTGATTTATTTACAAAGTTTGAATACATTGTTTTTCACAAAAAGTATCTGGGCTCTCAAGAGCTTGCACGTGGCCTTCTATAACATTTAGTCTTCATTTGCATGTAATAACAGAAGAAGAAGTAGGAGAAGGATGTATAAATTGCCTCCATTTACTATGAGACAGAAGGCCTGGCTGGGGTTCAGCTCCCATTACTGAGTATTTTTATCAAAGATTTTACAGAAGAATCCCAGTCAAAATGCAGAACAGAATTTCAAATTCTCATGAACTCTTGACCACCTAGAGCCTAGGTTTGATGAACTCTTGAAACTACTGTCCTGAGATAATTTTTGACCCTTAAGTAAAAAACATTCTTTCAATTCTTAACATAAATATCAGTAAGCTAAACCCAGGAAAAAATACCTGTCATGAGCAGGTAATTCTTTATAAAGAATTATCTATATGGCATCAGATTGACAACAGCAACTTGAAAGATTAGCATGGAACCATAGAGAGTCAATGAATATATTAATGGAGGAGGAAACACTTAAATTAGTATATGTCTTGCCACGTATATTTGCAACAAGAAGATAAAATACAAAATGGTACAACCACTCTGGAAAGGAGTTTGGCATTTCCTCAAAAAGATGAACAAAGAAATTCCATATGACCCAGCTATTCCTCTAGTAGAAATATATCTCAAGGAAATAAAAAATGAGACACAAACGGAGTATTATATACCAATGTTCGTACCATCACAAGAGCATAGAAACAGCCCAAACATCCAATCACAACCGAATTAATTGGGAAATTATGGTGCATTCATTTGATGGAATACTATGCAGCTTTCAGGAGCAACAATTCTGAAAAATACTCTGTAAGTTAGGATAGAATGGAAAGCATTATGCTGAGTGAACTAACTCACTCTCAGCAGGACAAATACGACATTAAATCATTACTGTAAAAACAGAAGGATAACTAGTAAAACGTATATGGGGATTCAAGGTGGGGGAAAGGGTGGGAGCAGAGGGATGAGGGTGGGTAGGGGCAAAATCACAGTGTTGCACACTTTGGTGGGGGGAGGGAGCAGGTAAAGGAAATGGGAAAGACCTAGTGGGAACCTAAAAAGATAGGGTAATAGTGGGCATAGTTCAATGGTGATTAATTTTAAAAAACACCATGTATGGGAATGAGTGCATGAAATATGTCAATGAAGGAAAGTGTGCGAAAAATTATTTTTTAATTAAAAAAGGGAGAAACTGGAAAAAAATATTGAAGTTCAAAACCAGTATCATTCCTTACAGATACTGTGAAACAAACTTACACTCACATTGTCCCTGAACAATCATTCTTGTCTTTCTCTTGGCTCCTTTTCAAGTAACTGTAAGGCTCCAATAGGGTCAGAATTTACCCAGCATTCCAAAAACACAAAGGAAACTCCTATTACTAATACATCCTCCTTACTATAACAATTTGGTCAAATAAAATCATTTACTCAGATCCCGCGTCTGCGTCCTGTTCTTGCAGGTCTCGGAGGAGAGCTTTCACTTTCTCCTGGTTTTCAGAAGTCATGTGTAGAGTCTGAAGGGGCACTTTGGCTTCAGATTTCCGTTTGGGGCGTGCCTCCCCTTTGCTTATGTTACTGCTGCTGGGCCTACAAAGGATAGGGGACAGCAAAATTATACATTTACCTACAATTGGAACTGTATACCCACCCAGGGTCCCCAGTGAAATATACCATGAACAAGACTGTCAAAGATCTTACAAAAGACAACAAGAAATGTGAAGAGATTCTCCAGTTTTATGTAGTATTCACCAGACATTTTTTTATATTGGAACTGCTGGAGAAGAACTGATCTGATTATTATTTTTTTTTTTTTTTAGTCTCAGCACTATTTTAACCATGGTTAAATTACATGTATATCATAATTTAGATAGAATTTTTTCATGGGGTTTTTTCCCCCTCATTTTTTTATTCATTTTTGTTGTACATTCTCTTGTACCTCCCTAGCCGGCAACACACCCCTTATTCTAGATTATTTTCATACATGTAATGCCTAATCATATATTTCTTTCAGAAAGTTCTTCCCCTCATCAGTTCTAATGCAGTGTTCATTATTTATCCACTCTTTTCCCATTCTCTCCCCAACCTACCCCCCATGTCTGTCCTATTTTTATAAAAAGCAGTGTAATGTAGTATTTGTCCTTTTGTGACTGAAAGAGTTTACTCAGCATAAAGTCCTCCAGGCTCCCCCTTGCTGTGTAATGTTTTACAAGTTAATCTTTTTCAGTGTTGCCTAATATTCCATTGTTTGAATGTACCATCGTTTCTCTACCCATTCATTTGTTGATGGGCATTTGGGTTGCTTCCATCTCTTTGTTATTGTGAATAATGCAGCAATAAATATGGGTAAGCATACATCTGTTTGAGCCATGGCTTTGCTTTCTTTAGAGTATATTTCCAGTAGTAGCATTGCTGGGTCAAATGGTATGTCTAGTTCCAACTTTTTGAGAAAGCGTCAGACTGCCTTCCATAGTGGCTGCATCATTTTATATTCCCAACAGTAGTGAATAAGAGTTCCAATTTCTCCACAATCTCGCCAGCATTTGTTATTTGCTACCCTTTTGAATTTTCTATTGTTGCTGGGCTGATCTAATTCTTAATCATTAGGTCTGGCTTCACTAATTCAAGAATCCTCTAGGAAATATAATGCTAATGATTGATTCCCTCAGTGTTACAAGGCCTCTGAAAAGAAACAGACCACATACAAGAGTACCTATATCATTCAACTTTAGGCATGCAAACTGGAAACAATCACTAGAATCATCTCATGTGTGAATATCAGGGTCTATATTTAAAATACTCACTCATATCATCATTTCCTAATTATAAAAATTAAAATAGGAATAAAAAAGCATAGAGAACAAAGAAAAGAAAAACCAAATCCACCAGTCAGCTAGTCTACTTTGACTCACAGGGACCTCACAGGCAAGAGCAGAACTGTTCAACAGTTTCCTCGGCTGTAAATCTTTACCATAGCTAGCTGACATATTTTTCTCTTAGAGAGTGGCTAGGGGGTTCAAACTATTGATCTTTTGATTGAAAACTTTAGTCACTGTGCCACCAAGGCAACAAAAGCCATCCCTAACCACATTATTCTTTCTCATACACATTTCAAAATAAAATTACATAGGCTGTATCTTTTATAACTAATCCCCTTATCAAATTATCACTGGCATTTCCCTAATATTAAATTTTCTTTCACCATTTTTCACATTTGGAAAAAAAATTATTTTAGAGAGTCTTAAATATTTAAAACAATAAAAAGTCCTAAAGTTTAATTTCACTTACTAGCTTTATTCTTTTTATCACTTGGTATGTTTTATTATGAGTCGCAGGCAACTCAAGAGCACATAACAAAAACATGTTTCATTATAAATTTGCACAAATTTTTTGAAATAGAAAGTTGCTCTCTAAAAATCAAACACAGTATTGGAACCTTAAAAAGAATAAAATTTTAACCTTTGCAAAACTGCGCATCAAAGGAAAATAGACTGTGATTTTTAACCAGTTAAATGCAATTAAGGAGAAAAGAAGTGATGCCATCTAAAATACATCATTCCTTCCAAATTTTGTCTTGAAAAGACGTAATTCTAAAAATATGCAGAATAATTGTATAATAAATACTATTTACCAAGAGTCATCAATAGTTAACATTTTGCCACATGTAACTCATGCCTCATTGCTTTGGGTCAGAACTGATTCATAGCTGACCCTCTGGTGAGTTTTTCCAAGGATGTAAACTGCACTGGAGGAGACTGTCTATCTTTTCCCTCCCTGCAACCAGTGTATTTGAACCCTGCCAGTGAGGCATGGCCTTTGGGGTAGCAGGGCAACTCCTTCAGGACATATGTTTCCAAATACAATCACATACACACCCCTACTATACGTATACACACATATGGCTGGGCCATTTGAATGTATGTAAACATTTCTATATGTATTTCCAAAGAGCTAAATTATACACTTATATAACGCTAATATAATTATCACTCTTATGAAATTTTATATAGATCCAGTAATACTTGATCCAGTAATACTATCTAATGCACAGTCTATATTCAAATTTCCTGACTCAATAGAGTCTTTCACAAAATTATTTTTTGCCCAGTATCTAATAGAAAAAACATTACATTTATCAAGCTTTTAAGAAAAACTCTTACTAATTTTCTAAGAGCTCAGGTCAACTGTCTGGCAGATATTCTCACAATCTGAATTTGTGTGATCATTTTTTCATGATGAGTAAAGAGGGAAGGAATGAAGGAAAGAGAGAGAAAGGAACAAAAAACTTTCACACGTCTCTACTTTACCCATCACTTACCTGTACACCCATGCAATCTCCCCTCCTTTTACTTTGGATGACCCATACTGGGTATCAATGTTAACCCATGCATTTAAACACTGGATCCCAATAGCTTTCATCTCTTCAAGGAAATGAGTTCGGCACTTATCCTCCTTTTTGCTTCATCAGTCTTCCCCAGCTTTTAGATAATTCCCATACAATTACAGATATGCTATATAACATCCACCAGGTGAAAGTTAAACTAATTTTCTTCCTTGACTGCACATTCTCACCTCCATCTATTGTCCATTTCTCTATACCCCTTTTAAAACAAACTCCTTTGAAAGAGTTAAGTAAATGACTGTTGCTACTTTCTTTCCTCTTCACCAAGTATGTGAACTAGTTCTTGTCAAAGTTATCAAGGATACTCACTTGTCAAATCCAGTGGATAATCTCTGTACTTCCTTTTTTTATCTATCAGAAATAACTGTTCATTCTCTCTCTCTGAAATATCTTTACTCTTTGGCTTTTAGAAAACAGTCTTGGTTTGTATTTAACTGGCAATTACTTATAAATGCCTTTTGATTCTCCTAATCTCGCTTACTTTTAAAGCTTGAAGTGTCCCACGGCTCATAATTTTACTTCTTCTCTAACTGTATTCACTCGTGTTGTTGTTGTTAGGTAGCATAAAGCATATAGCCACCCTATGAATAACAGGTCTGAATACTGTCCTGTTTTGTGACAATCTCATAATCTTTGACACATTCAAGCTTATTGCTGTAGTCACTAATTCAATCCACCTGGTTGAAAGTCTTCCTCTCTTTTGCTAACTCTCCACCTTTCCAAGCAAGATGTCTCCAAGGAACAACCTTTCCGAACAACATGCCCAAAGTAGGATGAAGCTTGCCTCCAAGAACACTCTGGCTCCACCTTCTGCAAGATATATCTGTTTGTTCTTTTTGGAGTCTATAGAATATTCAGTACTCTCCTCCAACACAACAGCTCAAAGGCATCAATTCTTCTGTCATTCTTATTCCCTGTCCAGCTCTCAGCAGAGATCTTGTCGTCTCCAGTCTTTAATATTTATTCAGAGGACTCACACACTACTAATTGTTGAGTCTAAATCTTTGGTCTTGGACTCTCGACTTAAGCATCAGTTTATCTGGCATTTCTAATTGGAGAGAGCCTTGCAACTAGTATACCTGGTTTCAACCCAGGCTTCCCTACAGAATATTCTCCACACAGCACACGAGCGTCCTGGTTGGGAGCTAATCCTGTCCAGAGGAAGGAACATCATTTTCTACTTCACACAAAGGTGTGTGCATCTATATCTATATTTATATCTGTATCTATATCTGTGTATATAGAAATAGGTATAGATATTAGATATAGCAATCATGGTCATAATTAGTAATATCACCAGTTACCCCTGTCTCAAACCCTTCAATGGCATCTTGATTTATTCAAAGGAAAATCTTAAGTCTTTATTAGCATATTTACTGTCCTACACAAGTATAGTCTTTGATGCAACCTCTTATCACTCTCCTCTTTGCTCATTTACCCTAACCACCTGGCTTTTTTACTAAAGCTTTCAAGCATGTACCTGCCGCAGGGACTTTGCACTTGCTTTTCTCTCTGCTGTGAACATTTTTCTCTCAGATAGCTAAGGATCACTACTTCACTTCATTCTTGTATTCTTGTTCCAACGCCACCTTAATAGAAATGCCGTCCCTAGTCATTCTACTGAGAACAATTCTCTTCTGACACTTTCTGTTCTTTTTAGCCTCTCTTTTTCTCCACAGCACTTACTGCCAGTCGTATATTTATTTGCTTACAAATTTTGTACCCCAAACACCATTCTATGAAGACAAGGACAATACTTCCTTGTTGTAATCCTAGTCTTTAATACAACAGCATAAGCATAGGATACTTTCAATATATATTTGCAAGATGAATGAATAGCCATGGCTCCATGTTTTGGAAAATGATGGAGTTGTTATCTACCTCATAAATTAGGTCTAAATTCAGCGTGTAGAAGTATGTAATCTTAAATTTAAAGTTAATCTGGAAAATATTCCAAAAAGTGTCAAGTTTGAGAAGCATGTATTATTTCTAAGTCCAAACTTTTTCCAAAATATAAAAGACGTGGTTGAATAGTTAGGTGGAGTACTTGGTTATTTTTACATGTATGCAAAAAAGAATTTAAAAAAATATCCTGAAATCACAGACTTAAGTATTAGCAAGAAGCCAAAACTACAAGCAGGATAAACAAAACAACAACAAAAAAAACCCAAGAAGAATTTGGAAACGGAAACAAAAGGAACATCAGTTTCTTTCTGTCCTGCTCACCACAGAGCCTGGATTAATTTCTTGGGAAGTTTAAACAACTTAAACACTACTTGTTTTTCTTTTTTCCCCCTAAACACATCCAAGTTAAAAGTTGAATTTATTAAAGTTAACAGATGTTTGATGAGGTTCAGATGCATCACTTGTTCAGTCTTTTCTAATTCATATTTAGTTATGCCCCAGAATGAATATGTGTCTACATATATGTGTGCACATATATGTGTATTTATGTGTATCTACACACCCCACACACACCCACCCAAAGAAGTTTCTCTCTCTGAAAATGCCAATTAACCCTAGCTCTGTTACACTCAGATTTCTAGTCACCTTAACAGAGAGAGCAAAAGCTTGCTTATTGGCTTTTACTGAAGACACTCGTGGAATGTTACAGCAGCACCAGATAAATAAGACACTTGGTCACTTGTCACCCATACACTAGAAACTGGCTTCATACTTGACTATTCAGAGTATAATGACCTGGATGAACGCCTTGATTCACTGAAGATACAAAAGTCATCTCCATCATCCCAAAGTCTGCTGGAGGCCTTCTTATTGCCGCTGCCGCCGCCTCCGCCTCCACCGCCACCTCCATGAGGTTTACTGCTGTGGCTCCTGCCTCCGCGGCCTCCCCTAGAGGACCCTTTTCCACTTCCTTTGCCTGGTTTTCCCTTTCTTCTTGCTGAAGAACTCATTTTCACCTGAAAGGGGGGGAAAATACATAGTTACTATAAAACCAGATGAAAAAAAATAATCATTTCTCTGTCAAAGTTAAGGACAGAGTTTATTTTAAAGAACCATAATAACTAATAAGAACGTTCCCAAGCAGATCAAGAATTTCACGTTCTTTTCCTTTCTTCTGTTTCTACTTTATGATTTCTCTTTTATACTGCTGTGGTGTTGGGGTTTTTTTGGGTTTTTTTGCCTTTGCACACTACATTTCTACAGCTTGCAATGCCAATTTCCACAAATTTTAGTTTATATTTTAAGTATCCTTCAAAGTCCAGTAGAAAGTGCCCCCTAGCAAATCGTTGGATATCTTAGAAAGACTCTCAGAGAGTAAGATCCAGGCCACGAGTTCCAGGCCACGAGTACCGCAACCACTATTGTCTGTACAGTAATTAGCTTTTTGAAGTGAGAAGAGTCATACAATAAGAAAAAAAAATAAATTCAAATAAGATAAAAATAAGTCTCTCTTCAATCCAGATTCCAGGGATGTTAACTTCCTGAATTAGCAGATGAGTGTGTGTGGATGTTGAGTCTCACTCTCAACCTGCTTTTATATAGTAATGAGCTCATTTTAGACATATTGCTCTGTACTTTTCTCCTTTCAACTTATACATTTATATAATTATATAACATTTTTAAAAATTTTATTTTATTATTTTGTATGTGTGTGCGTACCATCAAATCAGATCTGACTGGTACAGAAGGAGATTGTTCCTTCTCCAGCAGAGCATCTGGTGGATTTGAACCGTGCACCTCTGGGATTGCAGTACACCTTCTTGCCACTAGGCCACCAGAACTCGCCTAATTATATAACATTTATCCTATACTTACAAATACAACTACCTCATTAATTTTCCTACAACTGTCTGAATAACTATGATTTATTTAGCTAGGATTCTATTGGTAGTCACTGATGTAGTCCTTTATATTTAGTTCTTATCTGCTGCAGTTACCTACAATTATAAACAATTTCCTTTCCTTTATATTTTGTTGTTGTTGTGTACCATCGAGTCAGAATCAACTCATAACTGACCCTCCAGTGGGTTTTCAGAGACAGTTAATAGCACGGGAACAGACTGTCCATTCTTCTCTCATGGAGCAGCTGGTGGATTTGAACCATGTGCCTTTGGGATTGCAGCAGTTTCTTAACACTAGGCCACCAGAGCTCCCTTATCTATAGATACCACTGTTTTTACAAAAGATCTTGAGATAGTGTGACCTCTTTCTCATGACATTCTTATCTATATGGAGCCCAAGCCGAAGCAAACTTGTAATTTGGATTGAGAAGGAAGACATGTTTATCTTTTAAACTCTCAGTTGAGGATATACAACATATATAAAAACCAAACAAATCCACTGCTGTTAAGTCAGTTCTGACTCACAGCAGCCCCCAACATCAGCTTTCCAAGATTGTAAATCTTCACAGGAGGAGACTGATCATCTTTCTCCTAAGGAAAAACTGGTGGCTTTGAACTGCTGACCCCTTCCACTAGAGCTCCTTAAGTATATGGTCAGGAGGAAGTATGATGGATAGAATCTCAGCTTTGGAGTCAAATCAAGATTAATTAAAATTCCAGCTTTACTACTTTTAGAGTTAATGGCATTAGCTAAGTCATAGAAACAATCTGTGTTCTATTTTCCTCCTCCTAGCAACCCTATAGAATAGAACTGCCCCTAAGGATTTCCACGACTGTAATCTTGACAGAAGTGAACTGCCTCAGTGCTCGAGGGTGCGAAATGCTGATCAGTTAGTAGGTCAGTGTTTAACTACTTCCCCTATAATTTTAGAAAAATACTATTTATCTCACAAAACTGTCAGGGGATTAAAGAAACCAAACTTTCCCTTCCACTGTAAACTCATATATCTAACTACTTTCTAGACATCAGTTGGAAAGTATCTGAATGTAATATCCCAAATGAGCTTGAGATCTCTCAAATCTGCTCTTCTCTCCTATACACACTGTATCATTTTTCACCATTTACTCAGACCAAAAGTGTGTCATTTTTGTCTTTTTTTCTCTCAAATCTGCTTCAATCACCTTTAAAATATTCTTAGAATCTCTACCTACTTACAGACTCCACCACTACTACCCAGTCCAAGCCACTATGTTTTTGTCCTAGCCGAAACAATCACAGTAGCTTCCTAAGTGGCCATCTGTTTCTCCTCACTTCCTCACATTCTATTTATTCTTTACCCAGTAACTAGAGTAACTGCCTTAATACATAAGCCAATTGTATCAAACTCGTGCCCTAGTTCTCTAGGGTCTTGTCATCATATTTAGAATAAAATATGAGTTCTTCCCCAGAACCTTCTACTCTCCAACTTCATCTCTTTCCCTCACTTCACCATGAGTTCTCTACCGTCATCCAGGCCAGCAGAGCGAGGATATTTGTGACTCAGAGCATCTGTACTTATTATTACTTCTATAACAGCACATTTCTCAATTTGTGCATGTCATCTCACGTTGTCATCTCAGCAGCATTCATTATTTTTATGATGGTTAGATGATATACTATAAATCTACTTGTACAACATCTGTCTTGCCTCGTGGAAGACAAGACTCACAAGGGCAGCAATGTTTTTTCTTTGCTGTTTCATCCCCAGGATGTGGTACATAATAATCTACTGCTGTCAGGTAAGATTTCAACTCAGAGTGACCCTCTGTTGTGTTTCCAAAGCTTCAAATCTTTGTGAAGGAAACTCCCACCTTTTCCCATTGAGTAGCCAGTAGATTCAAGCCACCAGCCTTTATTTAGTAGCCCAGTACATTATGTACAGCAGCACCAGAGCTCCTTGGTGTGTAAGTACTCAATAAATATTTGTGGACTGAAAGAATGACTGACTGACTGAATCTCCATTCTTGTAGAATCCACTTATTCAACCTTCAGCCATTCATTCTTCAGAGATTATGAGGATGGTCCAGGATTAGGCAGGTTCATTTGGTTGTATAGAGTTGGAGCCAATTTGATTGCACCTAACATCAATATATGATGAATACTGTGCTCAAGGCATCAAAGGAAATACCTCCTTGCTACTGAGTAGAAACTGACTCATAGTTGACTGTCCAGCAGGTTTTTACAGGCTGTAAATTACACAGGAGGAGATGGTCCATCTTTCTCCTTCAGCAGCTGGTAGATTCGAATCACTCCCCTTTTGGTTATCAGCACAACTCCCCACCCCCTAAGCCACCAGGGATAGAGGCATAGTGGTTATCAAAATAGATATGGTCTCTGCCTTCAGGGAACTTGGTGAGAGAGGGAGGTGTGTGGATACAAACAGGAAACACTCAATAAACAAGTGTAATTATGAATAATTTTGAAGAATACCAAGAGGTAGTGGATATTTGCATGATCAAGGAAGACCCTTTGTCAGATAGTTGGTGTTACATTTAAATAATGAATTATAGTTACCTACTCAAAGACTTTGAGAACACTGCATAGTTCAAAATCAAGAAAGGAGTATGTCAGGGATGTGGCCTGCCTCCATATCTTTTCAATCTATATGCTAAAGAGATTATTTAAAAGGCTTGACTTAATGAAGAATATGGTGGCAGGATTGGAGGAAGACTCATTAACAACCTGCCTTATGCAGATGACACAACCTTGCTCACTAAAACTGAGGAAGACTTGAAACATTTGTTGCGTAAGATCAGACTGCAGCCTTCAGCATGGATTGTATTTCAATAAGAAAACAGAAATTCTCATCACTGGGTCAATAGGCAGCATCATGATAGATGGAGAAAAGATTGAAGTTATTAATAATTTCATCTTACTTGGATCCATAATCAACACCCTTGGCACCAATAGTCAGGAAATCAAAAGATGAGTTGCACTGGGGAAAATGTGCTGTCAAGGATCTCTCCAGAGTGCTAAAGAGCAGTTAGTCTATAGACTAAAGTATGCCTGATGTAGGCCATGGGCTTCTCAGTTGTTTGCTATGCCATCTAGACCTGGACAACAACTAAGGATGACAGAACAACAATTGATGCCTTTGAGTTATGGTGTTAGAGAAGAGTATTGAACATACACTACACACCATGGACTGCAAAGAGAACAAAAAGGTATGTACTGGGGAGGGTGAAACCAGGTTGCTCTTTGGAGGCAAGGATTTTGAAGCTCAGTCTCATATACTTCGGGCACATGGCCAGGAGGGGACAGTCCTTGGAGACAGACATCATGCTTGGAAGGGTGGGGGGTCAGCACAGAAGAAGATGTCCTTGGATGAGATGGATTAACACAGTAAGTATGGCAGTGGGGTCAGGTGTGTCAGAGACGGTGAGGTTGGCTCAGAATAGGACAAGGTTCAGAGTCCTTTTTCATAAGATCACTATGAGTCATAGTCAACCCGAAGACACAGAACAACTCAGAAACCTGAGAGAACAACATTTAGAAAAAGTAATAAAGTCAGTGTTGAATATACCATGGACTGCTAGGAGAACAAACAGGTTTGTCCTGGAGAGGGTGAAGCCAGAGTGTTCCCTGGAGTCAAGGATTCTGAAGCTTCATCTGACATACTTTGGGCATGTTGCAAGGAGGGACTGGTCCTTGGAGAGCGACATAATGTTTGGCAGAGTGGAGGGGAGGCGAAGGAGAGGAAGACCTTTGGTGAGATGGATCGATTCTGTGACTGGAGCGGTGGGAATAAGTGCATTTGAGATGGCTAGGTTGGCACAGGATAGAACAGCATTTAGAGCTCTTGTACATAGGGTCGCTATGAGTAGCAAGCGACTCGATGGCACATAACAACAACAACAAATGCAGCTATAACAGAAATTACAATTAAAATTACAATTACAACTACAAGTGGATGCCTTTAATAAACAGAAATTTCATTTAAGAGACTAGACATCCAAATTCAGGATACCAGCTCGAAGGACAACTTCCTCTGTCATCTCTGTAATAAGATCTTTGTCTCTTTTCAGCTTCTGTCTCTTGGCTGTCTTCATGTTACCTGGCATCTGTCTTCCTCTGTGTGTGCTTCTCTGTGCTGAAAATATTTCTTTTATATCTCAAAAGTGATTGATTCAAGACATACCCTATCCTATCAGGAACATGACAAACCCTATTAGATACAGATTACACCTACAGATGACAGGTTAGGATTTAAACATGTATATTTAAAGGACATTGTTCAGTCAACAAAATAAAGACACATTACAACAGAATGTGTAATCAAGGAGATGGTAGAAGGTCAGTTTGGTTCAAAACTCCTAAGCAAGGGAGAAAGAAAAGAAAGGTTATGTAGGATAAGGTCATAGATTTATGTTCTATCTTGACAAACCCTATTAGATACAGATTACACCTACAGATGACAGGTTAGGATTTAAACATGTATATTTAAAGGACATTGTTCAGTCAACAAAATAAAGACACATTACAACAGAATGTGTAATCAAGGAGATGGTAGAAGGTCAGTTTGGTTCAAAACTCCTAAGCAAGGGAGAAAGAAAAGAAAGGTTATGTAGGATAAGGTCATAGATTTATGTTCTATCTGGGAGTTTAGAGTTTATTCTAGGTGTAATGGAAGTAAAAAAAGAATCTTAAGCAGACAGTGAATGGACCCATTTGTCTTTTAAAAAGTATGTTCTGAAGGAGACAAGACTTGGGAAAAGATGGCATTTGGAGGCTGATCCTATTAATAATGATCAGAGGTTGGCAAACATTTTCTATAAAGGGCCCGATAGGTATGTTTTGCTTTGTGGCTCAAGTAGTTTCTGTCACAACTACTCAGTTCTGTCACTGTAGTAAAAAGGAAGCCACAGACAATAATTAAATGAGTATGTCTTAAATAAGAAACAACCCCAAACCACCAAATAACCACAAACCAACAACCCAAACAATTTTTAGCCCTTTCCATTATACAAAAACAAGTGGTGGGTATTATTTGACCCAAAGACTATAGTTTGGCTGGCCCTGGCTCTAGATGATAGAAACGGCATCACTGAAGTTTGTAAAAAAACAGTGATTTATACATTCTGTAGGAGAACTAGAACTTGATGGTGAAGTGATTTTTAGGAGCAGCATAATATCCAGATATCTGCCTTGAGAAAATTGTGCATGGAGGCCCCAGTTACAGGAACACCAGGAAGAAGTAGAAATATGGGGAAAGGGGAGTTCCGTTTTGGACATATTGAGTTTGGATTATCTCTGAAATTTCCAAGAAGGATGTGAAAGCCTGGATTAGGTATAGTGTGCAAAAAGACACATCTGGTTACTACTGCTGGGCACTCGACGAATTGGCTCTGAGTGTCAGTGACCCTGAATAACAGGGCTCTGCGCCATCCTCACAATCTCTGCTGTGCTTAAGCTTCATTGTTGTAGTCCTGTGTCAGTCATCTTGTTGAGAGGTTCCCTCTCTTTCACTAGAGAAACAGACCCTGGGATCCATAGAAGCAATGTGAAAAGATATATTTGATGTGAACACACTTGTGTACATTGCAGCATTACTTCCAGTATCAAAAAAGGTAGAGACAACCTAAGTTCCCATCAGCAAGTAACTGGATAAACAAAATGTGGTACAATGTGCAATCGAATGAATTACTTAGCTATAAAGAGAAATGAAGCCCTGATACATGGTTTAGCCTCAAAGCCATCATGCTAAGTGAAATGAAGCAATGGCCTATTTGCCAACAAATGGCCTTACTTACAAAAAAAGGCAAGGATAAGTTAATATTTGCAGATTTGTGGCTATTAGAAGCAGTCTTATTGACAAAATGTGTCAGGCTGTTAACTGAAATGTCGACAGTTCTAATCCACCAGCTGCTCCAAGGAAGAGAGATGGGCAGTTTCTTCCCATAAGGATTTACAGACTCTGCACCCTGAGCAGTTTCTTCCCATAAGGATTTACAGACTCTGCACCCTGATGGAGGGACTCTAGGAGTTCCAACCAACTTCATGACCATGGATTTGGCTTTTTTAAGATGGCCATGATTCCACACAATCAGAGAAACCTCTCTAGTAACAATCTATAGAAATGATCCCTACATCATGCAAATGACACAACTTTGCTTGCTGAATGTAGAAGATATGGAATACTTGTTGCAGAAAGTCAAAGACTACAGCCTTTGGTATGGCTTACATCTCAACATCAAGAAGACAAAGATCCTCACCACAGGACCAGCAGTAGCAGTGAACATTATGATAGATGGAGAAAGGATTGAAGCTTTCAATGATTTAATCTTGCTTGGATCAACAATCAACACCTGGGGTACCAGAAGTTAGGAAATCAGGAGACATGTTGCAATGGGAAAGTCAGCTAACAGGGACTTCTCCAAAATGCTGAACAGCAGTGATGTTAGTTTGAAGACTAAAGGGCCGCAATTCAGTCCATGGTCTTCTCAATCACCTGCTATGCATCAGGGAGCTTAACAGTGAATAAGGATGACAGGAGAATAATTGATGCCTTTGAGATGTGGTGTTAGAGAAGAGTACTGACTATCCTGTGGACTGACAAAAGAACAAACAGGTATGTCTTAGAAAAAGTGCAGCCAGAGTGCTCCCTGGAGGCAAGCATGACCAAGCTTCATCTTTCATACTTTGAACATGTAGCTAGGTGAGGCTTTTCCTTGGAAAAGGACATCATGCTTGTAAAGATGGACGGTTAGCAAAGAATAAGCATTCCAATGACTTGAGCAATGGGCTCTAGTGTGTCAGAGGTGATGAGGATGGCACAGGACTGGGCAAAGTCCAGGTTATGAGGATCTAATCTTCTTGTCTAGAATTGTTTACCATAAGGTCATTGCTACATATATATGAAGGAAGGGAGCTCTGGTGGCCTAGTGGAAGAAATTGTGCTGCAATTCCACAGAAGGATGGGCAATCTCCTCCTGTGTGATTTTACTGCCTCTGAAAAACCCACTGGAGGGTCAGCTATGAATTGGTTCCAACTCAATGGTATATAACATATATAAGTACACTCACAAAAATATAAGATCATTAAAAATTTAACAGGCTTTGAATTTTGTATGGCTTTGCATCGATAATTACCTATTTTAAATTCTGGGAAAAAAGATATACAAATTGGACAAATAAATCATAGCTTCACCTAGAAAAACATCAAGGTCAGGTTGTGTCCTTGAAAATAGTTAAGACGTTACTGTACTTTTTTAAAAAAGAAATAAAAGAATGTGGCAAGTCAACTAGGTCAAGGCACAACTAGCTTGTCTAAAGAGTGCTCAACAACTTGTCTCTCATCACCCAAAAATGTTACCTTGTCAACTTGTTTTCAGATAGTCACAATTTTGAATGTCTGCTTATTGGTTGTATTTAACAACTGTCCAATGCCGGCCGCTCTTTCTAGGCATTGCCCAAGGAATAAGAATTCCTTGTATAAATGTATAATTCATGTGGATAGACTCTACTATTCTATTCTGTCCAGAGCAGTCTTTACCATGGACACACAAACGTTAAATTCGGCTGCGAAGAGTATCCTTTGTTTTTCACCCTGGAACAATATCGCCAAGTATTGAAAACTGACCATACAGTCCTCTCCTCCTAGGCAAATCTAATTGATCCCGAAATACGCAGTTCTATCCAGATACTCGGACCTTATACCCTTCTTCCAACATACAATGTCCAGAACTCTGTTCCCAGCCAGCTACATCAGCCAAAGATGGGAACAGAGACAAGTAACGGAACCTGAGCTCCTTCAAGCAACTCTTTGCTTTGCTCTGAGCCTGAGTGTGGTCAATCTCAGCTGCTGATTTCAGCATGGCACGGTCCCAAGGTAGGATCCTGCCGGTACAGACACATCGATCCCGAGCAGACAGCTTGGGATCCACCGGGCCAGGATACTCCTCGGACCCTGCCTGACCACTACAGGTGCAGGGGAGATAGCAGACCTGTCTGCACACTGAGGACAAGATCACAAACAGACCACGCGCAGTTCACGCACACCAACAAATATCCCTCGTCCACTGAAGGGGAAGCTGTACCCGGCTTGCAGTGCCACTTCTCCAGGGCGGCTGGCAGAGTGTCCTGGGGTCGCCTGGACTCGGCCACCTACGCGAATCTCACCTGGAGCCCTACGTCGCTGCCCAGCTACAGCCATAAAGCCCCACCCACCCTGCACCTTCTGATTGGCTTAGTTTCGGCCCTCGCATATTCACTTCCGGGTGAAAGATTTCCGGTCTCCTCGGCAACCAGGTCGCGTTTAGTGCTCCTTGGTCCTGGCGTGCGCCTTATCTCCTTCTGACAGCAGAGCTGGCGACCCAGAGGGGCTTCCCAAGTTCCGAAAGTCTGTCTAACACCCCTCTGTCCAGTGAGTTCCCCTTCTCCAGGGTCCTGGTCAGGCAGGGGCGTCTCAGTGGAACCCGCGATGAGCCGGGCTCGGTTACAGGATATACTGTGACATATTTCCTGAGCGTCTGCGCAGGTCGAGGGTTCGAGGGGAGGGGATAGAGAGCCTCTGTGCTGAGGGTCCCGAGACCCGGATTCTAGCTGTGATTCTGCCATCATTCTTTTTCCATGATGGCTTGTTAAAATGCCAGCCTCTCAAGGTCTCCACACTCTAGCTCAAACACACCAGCCTTTCAAATGTGAAATCTTCCAAGAGAAATTGTTTTGAAAGATAAGCTTAATGTTCTGCTTAATAAGTCTTTAACGACTGTTTCTCAAAGGCCATTCCTTCACTAGTCATTTATTTATTTTCGGCACTTAAGCATAAAGCTTGACTGAAGAGTGAGAGATCCCCGATCCACCGTTGAGGGCTCAGGTTTATTGTTTATAGGGTCATTGTGAGGCCAGATGGCACCTAGCAACAACTATTCACCATTCCTCTTCTGGAATCCCAGATGCGGCAGAGAATCTCTCACCCTGGACTCAGATGTGCACCCTCTCCCGCGGTTACAGGGTTTAGTAGGGACATTGTCGTTGTTAAGTGCTGTCAACTCGCAGGCGACTCATAGCGACCCTATGAAGGAGAGTCCTCAACGCTTGGTGCCTTGCATCCTCTCTCCAGGTTCATAGGGTTTCCGGAGGCAAGCTATTATGGAAGTGGATGCCACTCCTGCTTCCAAGCTTGTTTAAATCAGGGAGCTCCACCCTACTCTCTGTCCGCATTGGGTAGCCAACCATTAACGCATTTGACATCAGTGTCACAGTGTTCAGCCTCACGGCAACCACAAGTGACCGCTGTGCGGCAACTTGTACACCAGGGCTATACGACCTAGAGGAATGCATTAACAGGCTCTAATTCAGATTAGCAACCAAATACAATCCCTCAATCTAGCTTCTCAAGCATGGTTGCTGACCTTTGGTTGTTAGCCTCGCAGGTTAGGTCAGGGTTACAAAATTATTTTGGCCATTCCAGTCTGGCTTCTTCCCTCAGTCCTCCAGCAAGCTTGGGTGGAGGTCTCTGGTTCTGGCTACATGGGGAAGCAGTCCTAAGCTCTGTCCCATGTTAGTCTCTGTTTGTTTGTTTGTTTTGTTTTTGTTTTTGCTAAGACTGAGGCTGCTGGTGCTTTTGTGTAGATCTTGGTCTGACTGGCACAGGATTCTCTGGCCACGCCATTGCTTCCTCTTCCTTATTGGTTCCTATTTCTGCTGCTGAAACCACTCCATTTAAACCTGGGGGTGGTGATAAGACTAGCCAGTCCCCTACTGAATAGACTAACATGACTATTTGTATGACCCCACCCATCCATTTGGCAAAGTCAAATTCATTTGCTAGGAAAGCCATTTTGAACCATAAATCCTTGACACCACTAGCACAAGCAAGTACAATCTGAAAATTATTTAGAAATGGCTAGAAGAGTTTCATCAATGGCACCAGTGATTTATCACTACTGATGCCAAATGGAAGTTGGCTAAAAGCAGAGAGTAACAGAAGGACATCCACTTGTGTTGTATTGGCTATGAGTCGAGGTATTTTACTGCATGGATCATAACAAATTGTGACTAACATTGAGAAGAATGAGAATCCCAGAACACTTAATTTTGCTCATGCAAAACCTATACCTAGACCAAGAAGCTGTTGTTTGAACAGAATAAGAGAACATGGCATGGTTTAAAATCAAGAAAGTTGTGCATAGAGGCTATATCCTTTCTCCATCCATGTTTAATCACAATGCTACATGTATCATTCAAGAATCTGGACTTTATGAGGAGCAATGTGGATTAGGATTGGAGGAAGTCTCATCAGCAACCTGTGTTATATAGATGACACAAACGTGCTTGTTAAAAATGAAGAGGACTTGGAACTTTTGCTTCAGGATGGATTACATCTCAACATCAAGAAAACAAAAATCCTCACCACTGGGTCAATAGACAACATCATGAAAGATCGAGAAAAGATAGACATTGAGAATGGTATCATTTTACCTGGATCCACAATCAACAACATTGATTTCCTTAGTCAGGAAATTAAATGATGTGTTACTTTGAGAAAGTCTGCAGTCAGGGACCTCTCCAAAGTCCTAAAGAGCAAGGATGTCAGTTTAAATAGGGGTGCCTGATTCAAGTCATGATCTTGTCAATTACTTGCTATGCATCTGAGAGTTGGACAGTGAATATAGAAGACTGTAAAAAGAGCAAGGGCCACATGTTAGCAGCCATATCTGATCTTTATCAACTTCACAAAGGGGAACTGTTCACACATCAACACACCAGGAACACAAAACCATTTCTGTAAGGACAGACCTGTCTCCGACTTTCCTGTACCACCTCCTAGTCATCTCAACACCGACCTTACTGCATTTCTGGGTCCAAAATCCAGTGTGGTAGTTCACATACCACACAGAATTTATTGGGGAAATTAAAACATTTTAATCCAGATTAGTAGCAGAATATAGTTGGTCAGGACAGCTTCTAAAATGTGCTTGCTGGCACCTCAGCCTTAAGACTTGTGGCTTTAAGCCAGTGTTACAACGTTCTCTGTTCTGCCAATAATGATAGCTCTATGCACACCCACCCCTCAGTCTTCCAGTGGTCCAACAAACTTGAGCAGAAGCTCTTAGCTCTGGTTCTGTGGAGGTTAGCATTCTCACGGTCAGCTGCCTCTCACGTTGAGTCTCTGGTCCTCTGCGTCAGCTGCTGTGGCTATTGCTCTGGTCCTAACGGATGAGTTGCATTTTCTTGCTTACTCTTTTCTGGTGGTGAGCTTTCTCTCATTCTGCTGCTGGATCTGCTTCATTTAATGATGAGACTAATCAGTCCCCTTGTGGTTAGGCTGACACATCCTACTAACCTATTCCTGCCTATCCACATGACAAAGTAAAATTCAATGATTAGGAAAGCCATTTTGAACAGTAAACTCCATAGTGACAGAAAAAGAATCAATGCCTTTGAGTTGTGATGCTGGAGAAGAGTACAAAATATCCCATGGACTGACATGAGAACAAACATATATATCTTTGAGAGGGTTGAGCCAGGGCACTCTTTAGAAGGAAGGATGGTGAAACTTCATTTCACACACTTGCACAAGCAAGTTGTTAGAAGGGGACAGTAGAAGAATGCAGATAGTTTTAGTATTAGTGATAGAGCCCAGATTGGAAGTCACTAAAAATGAGTAAAATAATGACAAATATTCTTTATTAATTAGAATATGGCATGTATGTAGCTTGACTGTTGAAAAATGAGAAATTGTAAAAAATTAAATGGAGTGCATGAACACCGATATTCTAGGCATTAGTGAGATGAGATGGACTAGCTCTGACCACTTTGAATCATCACATGGTATACTATGCTGAGAATGAAAAACAGAAGAAGAATAGTGTTGCACTAATAGTCAAAAAAGTAAATTTCATGTTTAATCCTGAAATACAATGTTGTGAGCAATAGGATATTATCTGTAAGCATACAAGCATGTTAATACAATGAATATTCAAATATATGCTCCTTCAGCTAGAGCCAAAGAGGAAGAAATTGAAATTTTTTACCAAATCTTGTAGTCTGAAATAGATCAAACATGCAGTCAGGATACATTAATGATAATTGGTGACTGGAATGCAAAAGTTAGAAACAATGAAAAAGGAATAGTTAGAAAATAAGGGTTTGGTTCTAGAAATGAAGCTGGAAATAGAATGATTGAATTTTGTATTTTCAATGATCATTGCAATTACTTTTTTAAAAAACACAAATGCTAACTTTAAAGATAGACTTCACCTGATGAGCTGCATGGAAATCAGATTGACTACTTCTGTGGAAGAATCATTGGAAAAACTCACTATCAGCAATCAGAGCTAAGCCAGGGGTGGACTATGGGTCAGATCATCAGTTACTCATGTACAAATTCAAACTGAGGTAGAAGAAAATTAAAAGAAGTCCACGAGAACCAAAATATTATCTTGAATATATTCCATCTGAATTTAGAAATCAACTTAAGAATAGGTCTGAAGCATTAAACACCAATGCTTGAAGGCCGGAAGAGTTATGGAATAATATCAAGGATATCATCAAAGAGAGCAAAATGTCTTTACAAAGATATTGGAGAAAGAAAAAAAAAAATGGATGTCAGAAGTCACTCTTAAAATGACACTAGAGCATCAAGAAGCCAGAACAAAGGAAAAAGATACTGAAGGAGAAGAGTTGAGCAGAAGATTTCAAAGGGCAGCTCAAGAATACAGTTCAAAGTATTGTAATGGAATATGCAGAGAGCTGGTATTGGAGAATAACAAGGGAAGAATTCACTCTGCATTTCTTAAGCTAAGAGAACTGAAAAACAAATCCTAGCTGCAATGTTTAAAGATGCTCTGAGCAATATAGTGAATGACCCAGGAAGCATCATACTTAGGGCATATTGCTAGGAGGGGCTATTCCTTGGAGAGGGATATGATGCTCAGAAAGGCAGAGAGGGTCGGTAAAGGGGAGGAAGACCCTGAACCAGGTGAATTGACACAGTAATTACCGCAGTGGGCTCTAGTGTGTCAGGAGGTTGAGGATTGGACAAGGTTCAGATCTGTTGTTCATAGGGTTACTATGGGTTGTACTCGATGGCAACAACAACTCGACCTGACAACAACAACAGCAATCCTTGGAAAAGGACATCATGCTCAGAAAAGTGGAAGATCAGTGAAGGAGGGGAAGACCTTCAATGAAATGAATTGACATGGTGACTGTTAAAATGGGCTCAAGTATGGCGACGATGAGGATGGTACAGGAAAAGACATCTATTGTT